TTATTTATAAATAGATAAATATTTATTTTAAAAATATATTTTCTTATATAATTTTATTTTAAAACTTTTATTTATTTATTTATTTATATAGATATTTATATTTCATCTAATTAATATAATAAATTTCTATTAAAAAATCTTCTTTATAATAAATTTATCTTTATTTATATTATTACTTTCCTTTATTAATATAAGTTTCAAGTAACTTTTTATATAGTAAAAAAATATTTTAAAGAAAAGATTCTTTCTGATCTTGGATTTGATATTTCTGTTTTTATTTATATTTGTATAGTATATAATTAGATGTATATAATGGATTTTAGATATAAATATTATCAAAAAAATATCTAATTAATAGATATAAATGTGAAGATATCAAAAAATATTACACAATATTTTTAGAACAAGTTGCTGAATATGAAAAACTCATGTTAAATTTGAAAATATTAAATATTAAATTTGTACTTATTCTAATTTAGCTTTTGATAAAAAGAAATATATATAAATAATACATGACAAGAGTACTCTTATAATAGATCTCATACTTTTGAGAATCTGAAGAAGAATAATCTCTTCAGAAAAAATGACTTGGACAAGAAATTTATATGAGTGACTTCTTAATAGAGACAATTGGTTATCTTAAGAATGATCAAGATGAAATATGAGAGATTATGATTTTGAGGGCAAATTATGATAATTATTTAAATAGTAAAAAACTTATTGCTCAAGTTTATCATGCAATAGATATTTTTGAAAGAATACATTCTGATGTTATTGGCATTTTTGCATTTGATAATGCTACCAGCCATACAGCATTTGTATCTGATGCATTGATTGTCAACAAGATGAATAAAGTGCTGGGAAAAAAAGTACTGCTAATGCATAATACAACTTTTAATGGATGACAACAATCAATGATAATTGATTATGATCTTATATAGTATGGGACAAGGAACAAAAAAAGAGGTAAATATGTGGCAAACCCAAAGGTATCAAACTAGTATTGGAGGAGCGAAGATTGTGGACATGGGATATGCCTTTGAAGTGCAAAATATGCACAGAAAAGGAGTCTGATCATATTGATTGTTGTGCTCGCCATCTCATAGCCAATCAATCAGATTTTCTTGGTGAAAAAGGACTTATTCAAATAATTATTGAATCACGGGATCATAAGGTATTTTTTTATTGTTTTATAAAACTTATATTTGTATAAGTTATATTTTACCCGAAATTTCATCCAGGATTCAATTATATAGAAATGTACTGGGGTGCTGCTAAGAAGTATGCCCGTGAACATTGTGAATATAAGAATAGATCGTTACGGAATGTTGTGCGAATTCGGTCCCTCTTGGAACTATTCGTGCATATGCCCAGTTATCTTTTCGATGGATGGATGCCTACCGCCATGGTTCGACGGGACGTGCTGCAGAGTATGCAGTAAAAAATCATAAGGCACATAGAATAATTAATGAATCGAATTAATGTTCTTTTGAATTAGATTTATAATCATAAATAATTATAAAATCTATTATTTGATAGTGTGTAACAAAACTTTTACAGTTGTGTAACCATGTTGAAAATTTGGCCGCCCTTCGGGCGGTATGGTGACTTCATGCTTGCCGCTACTGTATGGTGTGTGCAGTTGGGGGGATGCGAATGCAGTAAACTCTTGCAATAGTCACAGCCTAATTATATTGTATAACAATAAGCCTGATTTTAGCATGTGACTATAGCGGGAGTTTCCTGAAATAGTAGTATATAATAGTAAAAAATTACCCAATCAATTTTAACTATAAAACTATGGATTAGTCAAATAGAAACCCATGAAAAAAATCAACTAGTTTTCGGTGTACAACACCTCAAATTTATTTAATTTCATAGCCTATATTAAAAATAAACGCCGATTTCATTTATAATGTTACATTGTAGCGTTGGTCAAAGTAGATTATATAACGATAATGACGAAATTCAGGGAAGCTATTTTCGTGATTTTGATAACGATTTTTATAGCGTCCACGTATAAAATTTTAAACGAAAAAATTGTATGGAACTAAAATCGAATCGAATCGAACAGATACAGATATGTATTTGAACACGAAATAAAGGTATTAAAAAAGAAATAATCGAATTGAATATCGATATAAATACTAAAAATTGCATCTTCACGTGATACAATCAAATTTCAACTATGGGAATTTCGGCGATAAAAGAGTCGTCCAATCCATAAAAGCTTTTATTGTTGTTCATCAGAAAATTATTTTCTCCATTAGTGAAGATTGAGAAAATATTCGATTGTTGGTTTAGGTTATCATTGTTGTTAATATTAACATTAAATAATTGGTTTAAACGCGTAGAAGTGTGACTGGAAGAATACGAAACTCGAAGTAGATTTCTGGTTTGATCATTTTGATCATACGTTTGAGTTTGATTTCGATTGTTGTTATTATTCATATTTTTACTGGCTAGTTATTATTTTTATATATTTTTGTAGTTTAGAAAAAGAATCCAATTATTTTTCTGATTTTTCATGACTAAAAAAAAAGACTTTATATATACTCAATTTCTTTATGCGTAGCTTGCTAACTATCATGTTTTGCTCCTATGCATAGAGAGAACAAATGGAAGACCGAATTTTTAGCATGAGATTAAAGAAAACAATTTTATTCAACGGGATAGTACATAATGATCTCCTTTTTTTTTCGGCCAATATTTCTGCTGTGATAAATGGAGCTTTAACAATTGAACCAATCGTTAATCATTCAATTTTTGAAAAAATTCTGTATTCTCAAGTTTTCAAACCGTGCAAGTAAAAATTCATACGAGGAATTATACCACAGGATGACTAATCGGAATAAAGTATTCTTCGAGACAAAGTTGAATTCTCATCTTGAATTCCATATTGTTCACGTATGCACTTATAATACTGTACTTTCTGATATTCATTTGCTCTAGACACGACATGAACTTTTCGGACTTTCTATCACGTTAAACTAACATATCGTCATTTTGTTATTGTTATACAGATAACTTGAAAAACATTTCTTTAATCCTTCCAGTGCTACTTGTGCGAACACAGAATCTTATTACGATTGGATAAAGTTTAATTTGATTAATGTTAACGTAACTGCAATAAATAATTACTATCAAAATAACTAGTACAAATCTGGAACTTATTGATAAACCGAAAATTTATTAACATCATTAACAAATACCGATACCAATCAATTTGCCGAAATCTTTGTATTCAGTTTATTCAATTTATCTGAATAGGGTTAGGTCATATTTCAACAGCATTATACTTAGAGTATTGTGTGTTATCAATGTAAACTTTAGGTAACGAAAATATAAATGATTGCAATGATAGGTGAAATTCCTTTTTTTAAATTAACGTTAAGAACCAATTAATATAACCTTTAGGCAACAAAAATTTAGATTTCTTTTTTTTAAAAACATAAATGATTATTTCTATTTTCGAGATTCAGTTGCATGAAAGAGATAGCTGCAACCTGCCTATAATAACAACAATAGCAATTATATAAGAGGTATGCACGTAGAATTCGTGGAAATTACAAGGAATAAACCGTCGTGGTATGTGTAAGTGCGGGTAACGCGACAAATTCTGTATACATAAACATGGTTTTTCGCCACGGAAATGTCACAGAATCATATTCATGAACACAAAATGCTAATTTAACATTTTCCGTGTTTATGTATACAGAATTTGTCGCGTTTTCCGCACTTACACATACCACGACGGTTTATTCCATGAATATTACGCGTTTATCTTTTTATATAGGTAATAATAAGAAAAATATAATAATGCCAAGCAAGTCATTAATACAATTGCATTTTTTAAAAAGGCTTTAATCTCAATTGCTTACTAATAAACAAGATAACGTAAATTCATTTTTAAACCTCGCAAATAAACAACACTACATGTTAAATCGATTACTTACGAATATACAGTCGTCAATTACATACATATATACTAAGGCATGACAAATTTTACCTTTTTTCTGCATGTAAAAATCTAATTCTTTGAGTCTATAAAATTTCTGGCTAGCAGCATGAAATTTTAAACAGCTGCAATACGGTTGCACGAATCTAGTCTTCTTAAGCACCGCGTACTATGTTACTAATCCCGCTTCTCCGCTTCCGTGAATTCGGGAATGCCGATATGTCACTTTATTGAATGAAAGCGCCCTTTCATACAGTAGGTTACTCGAATTGCATTTGTAACTCTCATGTCAATTATCTCATTATCACTGAATTTTATTTCGTTTCAATCTCAAACTCTGCTCTGAAACAACACTAAATATCGACCTCGAATTACGAAATGCATACATCAACCGAGGAACAGCTATTATCGAAAACTTCATTTTTCTGCCGAAAAATGAGATTTTTTCCTGGTTCATTGTAGTCCTTCTCTCTTTCTCATAGTTATCCAGTGAGCTTCGGGCGTTCTCTGTGTTGTTCCTCCTTGAGCAGCAAATTATCTGCTACTCCGGTGTATCGGCATATTCTTAATAAAAAGCTCGTCAAATTTTTATTCTTTTTTAATTTCTTTAATAAATAAATTTATTGGTAAAGCCATTTTGAGAAATTTATCGGTTGTCTTATTTATTATTTCCAAGAATTATGTAATTCTTCATTTCATTTTCTCATTTTTCATTTGCCGGTTTGAATTTTTATAAGTGGCTTAGTTTGCTAGACTGGACTGAGTTGTTTCGAAAATTGTATGTATCAGAACGAGAATTTTCTGCAAAATTAACTATGTTTTCATGAAGAGTTCTACTGCATACATACTTGAACATGGTATAAACATATCGAACTAATGACGCAAAGATGAAAACACCTGTTACATGAATTTACGAATAAAATTTCGCGTAACATGTGATAAGTTACTTAACATATCAGCTGCATGCATACACATTCATTGTTATGATTTAATACTCTCACTTTTTTTCTGTTGAAAAGATTGCAATAAATTATTTCCCAAAATGGAAATAAATTTCAGATTTATATCATTACCGCCCGAGATACGTCAGGAAATATTTAAAAACCTCAATCAAGGATCCCTCTACAATTGCTTACGGACTAATCGACAATTATGTCGCGAAATAGTACCAATTCTTTGGGCAGAACCATTCCGAATAACACCCAAAATCACACGCAGAATCTATTTTAACTCAACAGTCAATTACGAACAATCGCAAAAAATCATAAGCATATATTTAGGATGTTTCACGAGAGAAACCTGGAGTCTACTTCGAGCAAACGGAATCAGCCGTCCAAGAACTACTCGATCGCCAATTTTTGACTATGCAACATTTATCACTCATCTTGATCCAATCTCAATATGTAATGCGGCTGGTGCATGGCTTAAGCAAAAAAAATATCCAACAGTAAAACAATGTAATAAACGTAAGGTATTGACGCGAGCTTTATGCCAACTTTTTTTAGACAAATCAAGGTCGTTAAGGTCTTTTTGTCATAACTTGTATTTGGATATCGAATTTTGGTGCCCGAATCCCCTCGAATTTCCAAATACTTTAGCATTTAAGAGTCTCAAAGATATACACATATTCGGAATCCACAAGCATAAAGATCTATTGGGTTTTTTTCTGAAGTTGGCTGGAATTTGTCATTCCTTGCGCGGAATCGCACTCGAAAGCGATTGGTTTTTTGAAAATCCTAATGCTAATAGCATAGAAGCAACAAACACAGCTGAGGGACTTAAATATTTTCTTATGATGCAAAAGGATTTACAATGGCTTAAAATAATTAATTTACCTTATGTCACTATTAAAGCTATAAATAAGTCTCTATCTTTGAAATCAATACGATCCATCAAATTCGAATCAATCGATTTTAGTGTATTTAAAAATGAGAATTTAATTACCTCGTTAACGTCTTGTGAAAATCTTCAGTGTCTGGATCTCCATAGTTGCCGGGGATTGGAGCAAAAAACTTGCATCGAGACTGCTGAACATTTCACCAGATTGGAATATTTCGCTTTTTTCTTTAAATCATCATATTATGAACCTATTCCATCCGAGTTCATAAAGCAGGTTGTTGAAGCCAGCAGCAATAGTCTCCGATATCTCCGACTCGAAAATGCAATTCCTGGTATAATCGACTCTTGTAAAAAACGGGAAATAATTGATACAGTTCTTTCGAACTCGTATAATCTTAAATCAATCAGTATTTTCGAATTAGACATAGAGGAAGCAATACCTTTATTAGAACGCTTCGAGAATCTTGTACATCTGGATATTTTTGCTGAATTGTCGGAGGTATTCGACAAGTTGAAAGAGAAACTTCCACTTACACTCTATTCTCTCAGAATTCACGGTTTTAGCAAAGCATATTCGACAGAAAGTTTTGCTCAATTTTTGATGGCCTGCAAACATTTGAAATATCTGTCAATATATCCATTTAACGATGATTGCAAAAGGCTGGCAAGTTCCTATGGCGTAAAGCTATCGAGCTTCTCGTATAATGAAAGTTCGTATTTTTTTTATTTTCACATTTTTCAATTATGTCAATTCTTATTTTTTTTATTCTTTTCTATAGAAATTTATCCTGATTATTTCCACAAATTCTAAAATAGAATTTGGCACAGTCCAGGTCCTAAGCATTTAAGCAAGGCTATTTGATGATAATGCTCATGCATATTTAATTAGAATAGAAATCTTTTTTAATGCATATAAAAATAAACAAGAAACGCACCTCATTTTGAGATTCTAAATAAAATTGTCTAAATAGTTGATGTTGGCAAACTTCGGAATTGAATTTAAAAGAAATTCAATTCCGAAGTTTCCCAACAACTAATACAAGGTTGGCCCTTGGACAGCTTGTCCAAGTTTTTTAAAAATTATTAGTAATTTAATTACGTAGATATTTGGACCAACACTGAGTTATAATAGCTCGGATACAGTATCGATCGAGTCCGGATTCGATCTATCAGATCGGTTTGAGCTGGAAAGATAGATTTCCGATTCTATACTACTCCGGTACATACGATACGGTTAGTCGGTTGAAAATTTTCAATCTCACAGTCAAACATTATATCGTTGTAAATTTACGCTTCCGATTGTATAAGGTTTTGATAGTAGCATAAATTTGATTATTAACGTGCGAACCGAATATAATCTGATTTATATAATTTCTCGTAATATTTGTGAGGTAAAAATGATCTAAAAGAATATATCGATATGAAGTTACCAAAAAAAACAGAATATCGTTATCAACTAAAATTTTTAAACACGCGCCAAATACGATGATAGAAATACGTAACGGTAATAAACAAATAAACAGCTCCTAACGTTAATTACCATAAATAGCGTGCCATGTGATCTTGTCAGCAAACACCAGAAATGCGTGTCGTCCAAAATTATCTCACGTGTCGTTTTATTTAATACCGTTTTGAAAACCAGAAAAAAAATTTCGAAACACGCGGCTCTCCAAGGAAAAGTTGAATGTACGTATGAGAACGGGATTTTATACAGAGATGGGAATTTTGATTGATCTGTTCTGTATTGTTGTGTTGTATTGTTATTTATTCCAAAAATGGGGTATTTACAAATATATCGGCGAATTCATCAAAAGCAAGCCCAATTTCAGCTAGTAATCTATATTTCGTCAACCATTTTATGCTTTAAGATTCTGAAAAACTTTCGATCACCAATATATTATTATGGATCGCGACAAATCCAAAAATTCCGATTCCTCATCGGACGAAGATTTACGAGGAATGACGCCTATTCCGCCTAATGTGTTAATTTCGCCCGTAATACTATTAACTAAAGAAGAAATGGCTCAACAACGGGCCCTCAAAAGATCTGCTAAGTTAGAACGTCGTTCCTCGGGATCATTTATGACTATAGAATCGGACAGCGGAATCGTACTAGAAAGAGATTACGAAAAACCGATCGTTTCACAGCTTCCTACGGTAAAAGAGTCGCCTTCGAATAGTCAGGAATCTGATTCGGATTCGATAAAAAATAAATCGGGCCAGGTTTCTATCATAGAAGAGTTGACTTCGAGGAGCCAGCAATCCGAAGCGGTAAAAGACGAATCGGGCCAGGTTTCTACCATAGAAGAATTGCCTTCGAAGAGTCAGCAATCCGAAGCGGTAAAAGACAAATCGGGCCAGGTTTCTACCATAGAAGAGTTGTCTTCGAAAAGTCAGCGATCCGAAGCGGCAAAAGACAAATCGGGTCAAGTTCCTACTGTAGAAAAGTTACCTTTAAAGATCCAGGAATCCGATTCGATAAAAACCAAAACGGAGAAGGCACTAGTTACAGGATCGGCTCAAAGCAAGCCAAGGCAAGAGGGATCTGAGCCGAAATCGAGACAAAGCAAGGATTATAACGAAAAAGTGCCGGTAGCTAGCTCTTCAACTTTAAACGCGCCAATATCACCATCACTTAGTCCGTATTCACCTCGTATTTCTGAAAAGATTTCACCATCTACATCGGAAAGGAAACCTTCTCCAGCTCAGCAAGTGCAAAAAGTGGTTATGTCAAAAAAAAGGAAATTAGAAGAAATTGAACAGATGCATTCTGGTTTCCTTTCATTTGCACGAAAACGATCAGATCGCGTGCGAAAAAAATTGCAATGTAAACCTCCTA